AATATGAGCTTTATGAGGAATTACATAAGATTCTTACTGCATGGTACCTATTATAGCTGAAAAAACTTGTTTTTCGACAGATTGTCTTCTTTGGCAACCATGCTTCTCATTTCGTAGTTGTATTGTTTCTTTGGACAATGTTAAGCAATTTATTTAGCTTTTCTAGAATATAAGTATAAGTCCTCTTGACGTTGTTGAATTTTTTCCTGTTTTGTGAGAGATTTAAAATATATCATGTCAATTTGCATTGGTTCTAGCTTTGATGAATAAATTTTTGAAAACTTGGGAGTTGTTTTCATTATTTGATTTAATCCTCTCCAGCCAAATCTTTGTTCTTGATGTCTTTTAAATAATCGATTGCCACATGCAATGACTTGAGTAATAAATTGTTTGAAAGATTCTACCTCTCGTATTCTCAATAAGAAATCTTTGACATTATCCTTTAAGCAATATCAAAATTGATTAATAAGGGCTTTGTCATTCCAATCCATGTTGCAAGCAATGTTTTGGAATTCAGCAACATATATAATGATTGACCGTGATCTTTACCATAAGGATAAGAACTTAGTCTCTACTATTCTTTCTTTATCATTTTTTTTGAATATGGCCATAAATACTTCTAAGAATAAATTCAAATCATAAAAGAGTTCCAAATCTTTTTTTATTAAAGGTAAAAACCAAGAAACAACACTTCTTAATAAAAGTGTGCCTATAAATCCGACTTGAGTAAATCCATTGAGGTATTGGAAAGAATGCAATCTTAGATAAAGCTTCATTTGTTGTAGAAATCTTCAAAATTTTGATCTCGTTCTATTAAACTTCTCAGGCATACTAATCTTTGTCTCCATCATATTTGTAGAAATAAAGCTCTATGGATTTGGTTGCAAGGTTGATCTACTTATTTCTTTCAACTATACAACTTCTTGTCACATATTCTAAACTTCTTCTATAGGCGTAGGCATAGTACTTCTATGATTCACATTGGAAATACATGAGATTTTCACTCTATAAATATTGAATATTCACTCTCTTTAAGAAAAAGATTAGTGTTAGAAAATAAGATTTTTTATTTAAAGGTGGATAAGTTACAATCTTCAAAACAAAAAATAGAAGTGGAATAATCTACTTATTTTTAAAATAAGATAAAAATAGTAAGTTAGTACTCTTATCAAATTTTTAAGGAAGTAAATCTTGAAAAAAGAAATCTTCAATACACTCTTGTGACACTGAAAAGAACTAGAAAGTCACTCAAAGATGATATATTATTAAACTAGAATGGCTATTGCTAGAGACATGAAAACTAAGAAGTCTTGAAACAAGACTAAGGACTAGAAAGGTGTTAATAAGAGTGAAAAATACTTCACTCTTGCCTCCATATATACTTTTAATTAGGAGCTATTTGGCGATGTTCTATAGGACCTCCAAAATGTATTGACTTTACAAGACATGTATCTTAAGTTGCAATACAAGTTTTTTATATGTACTCTATATAGTTAGCTTATTTTGCAAGCTATCAACACGTGGTTAACTTGTTCATCAAGTTTCTAACCTACCAATTAGTTACAAATACATATAAAGTCAAAAAAATATCTATGAAGCTTTTAAGAAGCTTCTCTAAAAGGTATTATAAAATTAATCTAATATTATCTACTTTTAGCTAATCATATAGGTGTTTATTAGAATCTCTCTCTCTCTCACTCTCACTCTCTCTTTATATATATATATATATATATATATATATATATATAATACATTGGTGTCCAATTTTTTTAGGTAAGATATTATCGCTTTGTAACTCATCTAAAAATGCTTCTAAATGATTTTTTTCATCAAATTCCTCTTATTATAAGACATCTCAAAGATTATATATGTCTCTTTGGATGCATTTGTTGTTCAAGTTCAATTGCATCATTCCAATATGAACAATGTGAGGAAAGGCTTTAGCATCAAAAAAATTACAAATCATATCAACTTTGTCAATTATAGAGGTTCTTGTTGACAAATAGGTTGTTGTATCAACTACTAGAGTATAATTATAATTTGCATTGACTATATACAACGTCTATGTTGTATTCTATTTCTATGAGGTATATTGTAGTTTGATCTGAAAAGAACACTTAAATCATCTAAATACTGTGGCTCGGCTTATAGCATTGGTGGTATACTCACCTTGATGAATATAGCAAAAAAAAAGCAATAAATATAAACTTTGTATTGAATAATATATGGTTGTGTTGTTATTGAAGTGCAAATCCATAACAAAAGCAAAGTCTTTTAAGTTAATATTTTTTACTTCTAGTATTGTATAGATCTACTTAGTAAGTGATTGAATTTGTTCTAATTGTTGTTGTTGAGGTTATCAAAGTTGTTGAAGTGTAGTGATTGTAGGTATTTATAAAAATAAAAAATAAAAAATAAATCCTTAAATCCACAACCTTAATCTACAGTAAATTGGCACTCTTTATGTAGGCATGGCTGTAAAAAAAAAGAACTACAATATTAATACCAAATTCCAAATTAGAACTAACATGTGAGAATCAAAAGATCAACTCTTCAATCCTCCAATCTACCACTCATCACTTAAAAGATTAAAAAAACTTGTCTTTGAATACATTACCTAGGTTTGTAACCTATTTAGTCGAGCCATAAGCAATGTACAATTACTTCCCTTTCTTTGAGTCACCACTATACTAGTGAATGGCTACTTTAACAAATATGCACTTTATAGCAACTTAAGTTGTGTATAATTTAGCAATAATTTATTGGCAACATATTGCTATGCATCAATGTCTACTTGCTTCCAACAATCAAGAAATTCAAATTTTTACATATATTGGTTCATATCAAAATGATCCCACATTTAGAGAAAAAAAGATTAAAATATGAGAAGCTTTTTGGCATGCAATGAGGTTGAATGGGTGAGATTTTAGTGTTCTAGTTGAGGTTTAAGTTTTTGTTATGGTCAAAATATTAAACTTGCTATTTGTGAAAGAAAGAGAGTAAAGATGGCATTTGAAATCATTATTATTATTATTATTATTATTATTTTATTTTTTAAATTTTTAGTAAAGTAATTATAATACCATTGCATGTATTAAGGAATCCTTGTATCTAAACCTGTCAAGTGATCAAAATCTGGTCAGTTTTATAAAAACCTTAATCAACATATTAATTCTATGTATATATATATATATTATATATATATATATAATTGATATTATTATATTATTATTGCTTTTATTCAAAATATTTTGATTATTTAATTTATATGTGTATATATATATATATATATATATATATATCCAAAACAAAAGATGGATGAAAGATTAGTGAAGAAAATAAAATAAAATAAAAAAGAATTAAGAGACACATACAAGTCTTTTTGTTGACCAATTTGTTTTGTTTTGTTTTGTTTTTTGTTTTTTGTTTTTTTTGTTTTGTTTTTTTTTTTTGTTTTTTGTTTTTTTTGTTTTGTTTCATTAGGTGTAATATTAAAATTTATTTAAATAAATCGAGTTTGAACAAAGAGAATACTAATTGAAGTACTAGTAAAATCACAAGACATATTTTCAAAGTAGATGACTTATAGTGTATACTAGGATTTTATTTGTGTTAATTAAAAAAATACATTGCCAACAATGTATCTCTTTCTCTCAAAAAGAAAACAAACATTGATTGAGATTCTAAAAATAAATAAATAAATAAGTAAATTCATGAAAAAAATAAAAAAATAGAAAATTTATGGAATGTGTTTGTGTGCTTATGTAAACATAAACATGAATATGTAATAGAGTTGTCTCCAACTATTCATATACATTCAAAGAAAATTTTAAAATAGAATCACATTATTCCTATACACATGTGAGTATTAAAATCACTATTGATTAAATTAAAAATTCCACGGTTTGATATATGAAATCCCAGAAAATCCTTCTGCAAGGTTGTATAAAATTCCATGTGTTACAACTTGATGTTACATGATAAAAATTACTTTATTTGTCAACTACAGCTTTACTTACCTCCACGCACGGTCTCACGCGCGATTCCACGCACGGGTTTAGGACGTGGAAATATCGGGAGCGAGAGGGCGAGAGGGGGGGGTCTTCAGGGACACGGCAACAGGATGAGAGAGTGGGTCCGGGACCGGGACCAGGACCATTAGGGATAAGCAGAATCAGGATCACAGGGAGGATCACAGGGCTCCTCCTCTCAGCAATCGATGCGTCGGGAAAGCAAACCAAGCACTAATTAAAATAACCCAAAATAACCCCACAACAAAACAAAACACAGAACAACACCCACAAAACTAATCGAATCTGGTTTCCATCAATCACACCACCCAGCCAGCATCACCCATAAAGTGGGCTCGCGCGACAGACGCTGGCGGCGGATTCGCGTTGGCGATGTGGATTCCCGTCGCGAGAGCGCTGCAGCGGCCTCGTCGTCGATCGATGCAGACATCGCTCGACCCACCACCGTCGTCGCACCCCGAGCAGCGGGGGCAGATATTTGGAGCCTGGAAAGCGGCAGGCGATGGCATCGAGCGGCCAGGAGGTCGGCAACTCCGTGCATGATTGTGGCCGTGTGGGCAGGAGGAGGACGGCCACGTCTGTTGATGCATCCTGTACACATATTCATTCGATGACGTCGCCCTTGCACCACGACCACGACGACTCTCGCCTGCCCAGGGGGGAGCTTTTTTCCTAGGGCTTTCGTTGCCTCGACCGCCATTCTTGGAGCCTGGCCATAGCCCATCCGGCAAGGGCAACTTGGGGCTTGGGGACTGCTTTTCGCGTTGGGCGGTGTGATGAATGTGGTGCCTTGGCCCTCACTCGCCTTTTATTTTTCTGGGTTTTTATGGGTTTTCATCCCCCCCCCCCCCCCGCGCATCTTCCGTGCCCCTCTCCGTGCCCGGCGTCTGGCACCTCTAGGAAGGTGCTTTGTCTTGTGCCCTCGACCCCACCCCTTGCTTTGATGTGTGCTGTTATGCTGGGTCCTCTGTTGTTGGGCATTGCCAATTGGGTGGTGTTGATGTTGTGGTGCTCCTGATTCTGGCATTTCGGTTGCATCTTTGAGAACACCCTGTGGGTGCCTATTCGTTGCATCCTGGTAAGTTGCCTTCTCGAATGTCGATGCAGATGCGGATTGCAGATTGTCTGTTTTTGACAATTTCTTGATGGGCTTCGTGCGGACTTGCGTATGAGTGGTAATTGGTCTGCGATGAGTTTGATTGAGTTTGAGTGACTCGTCTTGAGTTTCATCATTTATGCGTTTTTCATTGTTGGGATTTCGTGCTCCGAGGATTCAGCGCTCTGGATTGGGTGCGGCAGTAGGGAGCTTCTGGGGTTCGTGATACGGGTCGGTTGAATTTACTGAGAGTAAGATTAGTGCTTGTGTTTGAGTTAGTTTTTGTTTGGTGCGTCTCTGCTGGAGTGACTGAGATTTCAGTTGTGTTTTCCACTGCGTCTTTCGAAGTTGGTCAAGTTTCTCTGTTTTTTGTCATTCTGTTTCTTGGTCCGTGGTGAGGCGGACGCAAACTGATTGGAGGGGGGTGCTGGTTTGGGATTTGAGTGGCTACTGCGATGGCTATCCGCCGTTGTGAGTAATGCGATGCGGTGATAGTGTTGTTGTGTGAAGTGATATTAGCATCTTTTTATCTTGACGCCAATGATGTCGACTCCTTGCTAATCAACATTAACAGGATTTTAAGCCGAACTTGCGACGGAATTTACGGACATACATTATTGAAGGGAGTTTCGGAGAAATCGTTTTGCAGAGCTGCTGTCAGTCCTCGTAAATTTTGAGGTAATCCATGTGCATCATTACGTTCCTCTACGTCTTTGGCGTGTGCAAAAGTCAACCTAGTCATGCCCCAGACCGCGTGAGACTGAAGCTTGTGAGTCAAGTGGACAGTTATGAGCGTAGAGGTTGCTGCTACTTCCAAATTCTGTACCGTTGTTCTTACTTTGCGTACAGTGTCTTTGTTTTGAGGCTTGGGATTTGCCTCTATACAGTAGTTGTGCTCTCTGATTACAGGAAGAACTTTGAAATTTTATTCAGTCACACATATTAGTGAAATTTCCCCAAACATGGTTATAGAGTAGAGTTTCGGTCTAGCAATCAAACGCGCGTGTCGAGCGCTGATGCCTGAATCAGCGCGTTAAATTTCGCCGGCAAATTCGTGGAGGATCGAGGAATGTGGGTTGGATTTGGTGTCGAACTGACATTGCCCTTCTCGGTGGCTTACTTTTCAGGTCAAGTCGAGAGAGTAGGTACACCCACTTGCATAATCGTTCTCCATCACGACATGGCAGCCGTGGGCTTTGTTTTTGGAGTAAAGCCTGGTGCAGTAGAGCTTTGCCAAGGTTTAGGGTTGCCCCAGACAGTAACTGCTACATCGAGGAGCTTGGACGGTTCTTGTTCCTTGCCGTCGGCGTTTGTAACTATCTCCAAGTTACCACCTGTGTACACTGTTCTTCAATCTTCTAGTTTATCTCTTCGTTTAAGGACTGTAACTTCGTCGGCTGCAATTACGAGCTTTTTCGACACCAGCTCAGAAATCTCGAAGTTTGGGTTTAGTACAGGCAGGTTATGGAGGGTCGAGCATGGACCCAATGTACGCGTCCAGTCTTTGGGAGCCACAGAGGAAGCGCACATGCCATTTGAGAAAGATAGAAGGTCATTAGAAACAACTTACTTCACAGAAACTAGTCCTCCTACTCCTCCCTCACGCAGCAGGGACAGAGCGGATGATTTATCTTTGAACAATCCTTTGCTTCGACAGCATCGCCTAGGATGCGGCTGGTTGGGTGTCGTATTGGAATGGGAGGGTGTTATAGTCGAAGACGATTCCGAGTTAGAAAGGAAAGCGTGGACTGCTCTAGCTGAGGAAGAAGGTAAGAGACCACCTCCGGCTTTCATACTCAAAAGAGCAGAAGGTATGAAGAACGAGCAGGCTATATCTGAAGTGCTTTGCTGGAGCAGAGACTTTCTTCAAATGAAGCGCCTGGCTATCAGAAAGGAGGAGCTCTACGAGGAGATGCAGGGCGGTTTATACAGGTTACGGCCTGGTTCTCGCGAGTTTGTACAGACTCTGAAGAAACATGAAATCCCTATCGCGGTGGCCTCTACAAGACCAAGGAAGTATTTGGAGAGAGCTATTGAAGCAGTCGGCATGGAGGGTTTCTTCAGTGTTGTTCTTGCTGCCGAAGATGTCTACAGGGGTAAACCAGACCCCGAGATGTTCATGTATGCAGCGGAGCGGCTTGGCTTCATTCCTGAGCGTTGCATCGTCTTTGGAAATTCCAACTCTAGCGTTGAAGCAGCCCATGATGGTTGCATGAAATGTGTGGCTGTCGCAGGGAAGCATCCCGTGTACGAATTAAGTGCTGGAGACTTGGTTGTTCGCAGATTGGACGATTTGTCCGTGGTTGATCTAAAGAACCTTTCAGATTTGGATTCACCCGAGTTTCAGATCCCAGAACCAGAGCTGGAATTGGAGGTAGAAGAGGAACGAACTCTCCCTCAGGTCACCACAAAAGATTGGTAGAATTAACATGTGAATTCTGGAGCATCGTCATTGAGATGCTCAGTTGGGTGTATATCTAGATAACAAAAAAAAATTGTGATCATATCAAAAAAAATTGTACAGAATATTCTTCTGATTCTTGTAATAAACTTCATTGCTACAATTGTATATAGATTTGTGTTCACTTGGGTCTCGCCATTGTGATGAGGTCAACTGCCATTGTAAGTGGCCTTCCATGTTCATGGCTCTCAGCAAGTGGAACAACTTGTGATGTGATTGGAGCACCCTGCCTACTGGATGCAGCATTTAGCTTAGAGTTACGCAAATTTCTTGTGTTCACTTAAGTATTTTGTTCATTTTAGAAACTAAACAGTTGCATCGAATTATCTGCATTCAGTGCAACGCTCATGGTGTGCTCTTTGTGAGCAGCATTTGATTATTTATTTTCGAAGTAGTTTATGATCGAAAAACTGACAGCAAAAGTTATAATGTAGGATCGTTGACTTTTTAACACATCATTCATCACAATTAATCTTGGGGCAATTTAATGTAATTTTTAATCTTATTCTATTCGACTGTTGATATCAATTTAAGTGTGTTCTTGGTTTATATTATTACCTCATATAATAGTTTGAATTTCTTTACTCGAGGAGTAGAAAGTAGTCATAAAGTCTATTGAACATATGTTTAAATGCATTTTGGTCAACATTGTTTCAAGCAAAATAATTCAAGGCAGAAGTTCAAATTCGAGACAAGAAATGTTTACTCCACTTTAAATTTACTCATTTTAAGTTGTAAGATTGAATTTTTTAGATCTCAATTGTTCAGTTTCTAAAAGTAGTTAAGACTCAAAACACAATATGATGATTGAAACTTAAATGATACAACTTAATGTCTTGACTATTAATATGTATTATTATGCAAAAAAAGAAATGAAGTAGCATCAAGAAAAACATACATGAGGACATGACATAACCAAATGATTTCGTCAAGGTATAAGAATATTTGTAAATTACAAGAGATAAAAAATTTAAATTAAACAAATGATTACAACATTTTTTTTTTGCTTTTGATGTGTATGTGCAAATCTAAAAACTTTTGCTCTTAATTTTTAGTTTTTAATGTCTTGCCACTTGAGCAATTTAATATTATTTTAAAAAAAATTCAAAAACAAATAACTAACCAATCTATTAGTCAAGATACTAAACAAACTTTAATTTTGAAGTTTTCCACTAAAATTTATTAGAAAGTTTCAAATGTTGTAAACTTTAAGGGAAATAAAAGTCCATAAAACTTTAATATTCGCTTATTTACAATGAAATGTTTCACAAAGTTTAAGAGAGACTTTTTTGTTTTAAAAATTTATGGTATATAAAAGTTGTAATTTTTTTAGAAACTGAAAATCAGTCCTCTTCACTATGTGATCTTAAAAAATTATTTTAAAAATAACACTGTTAATAACACACATTCTTTCATTAAAATAAATAAATAAAAAATATTATACCAACAGAAGCCAAAGATTTTTTCCATCACACATTCTAAAAATCTTGGATTATAACCAAGTCTTTATATTCAAGTATTTTTTATTTTTTATTTTTTTATATATTTTAAATAATGTATTTAGAGGCATAAATGCAAGTTTGTTTAAAAAGCAAATAGATGTTGTTTTTTAACCTTTGGAAAAGATCATTCAAAGTACCTTTAGCTTTGGAATTTATTTGCAATAAAGAATGCCTTTTAAAAAGAAGTGTGTAAGGTTTTTACAATAGTTGTTGTTCTTCCATCCATTGATAGAAAATTTGGACTCCACAAATATAATATTTAGAAAAGTAATTGCTAAATCTTACAAAATTATTGAAGTGTGAGGAAGCAACCAACATGAAATTGCTAAGTTGCACCAAAATCAATCTCCAAGTCTTTATAAGTATCAATTGCTACCTTAAATACTATTTTATGATAGTAAGTACATAAGAGTTCAACAAAGTCTTTTACAATTGAATAACTTTGGATTGTTGATACCTTCTTTGTAAGCTAGGGCTTTTGACTATTGTTAAATTCTTATATATTAATTTTAACAAGTTGATATAATGAGAATAGAAAATATACATTACTTGGGTAATTTTTTGACTCATATTCAATAACAATCTTATAGATGCCATTGACATAATAGACAAACATCTTTGCAATGACAATCACCAACAATCAAACAATATCATCTTTTAAGTTAAAAAATATTTAAGCCAATCAAAGATCCAAGCTACCTATAAACAAATGAGTCTTTGGGTGAGTTAGAACAAAATGATTGTAGACTTTAGTGCTTGATGTATTACTTATGATAAGTTGTTCATCTACTTATAAAACAATCATGCCAATTATTATGAAGTACACACCAACAAAATTGGTTAATTTTATGCATTATTAAGGTTGTTAGTCTTTGAAGTGATATAATTATATGCCTTGGCCTCTCATGCTAAATAGAAAGATCCACCATACATTGCATTAAATTCAATAATATTTTTTTAAACTAAAAATTGTCCTAAATTATAATAGTATTCAATCAACGAGGTTATAATTGAATCCATTGAAATCTAATGTGTATTAGCAATTCTAGAATTTATCATTCACATGATTAAGATAAAAATTTATTATCATTAAAAGTGTCCAATTATTGCTATTTGTGCAAAGTAGAATAATTAGTTAAAAAAAGCTTTGAAGATCTATTACATCATCATATCAAGTTGATAGAGACTACACTAGATGAAAATAAATTTCACCAAAGTATACTTCTATAGACATAATCAACACCAAATATTACCTAGATATGAAGAATTAGACAAAAATTAATACAAATAAATAAATTATGCAATAGCTTGTAAAAAAACTTCTTAGAAGCTTTATAGATGTAGGTTTGACTTTATACATATCTATAGGTAATTGATAGGTTGAAAACTTAGCCAACAAACTAGCTATTTGTGGTATAAGTTGGCCATGTGGCATACATATAAGAAACTTATCTTATAAGTTACAAACATGTCTTGCAAGTTGGACAATTTTGAAGGTCATATAGAATGTTGTTAAATAACTCCTACTTAGATAGTATATATGGAAATAAGAGTGAGGCCTTCTTTACTCTTATTAATACCTTTTTTACTCTTATTCTTATTTAAAGAGTCTCTAATCTTTTTATTTTTAATAATAGCTATTCTAGTCTTAATATTATACCATCTTTTAGTGATTATTTACTCTTTTTTAATGATATAAGAGTGTATTCATCATTTTTTTTTAATTTATATCTTTAAAAATTTGAGAAGAATATTGATTCACTATTCTTATTTTATTTTAAAAGTGAGTAGATTATCCTTCTTTGTTTGTTATGCTATGAAAGTTACCCGCTATCTACCTTTAAACTAATTTTTTTTGTTTTTCAACATTGATTCTTTTTTTAAAGAGAATAGACTATCTTTCTTTGTAAAACTTTTTATTTGATATTAGAGGTTGTAGATTACCTTCTTTTAATTTGACTATTAACTTTGTTAAAGTTTTCTAATGTAGAGATAGAAGGAAAATAAATTATGGATGCTACACTTAGCAAAAGTGAGGATAGATTTACAACTATAGTATATCTTCACAAATTTGCCTATACTTTTAGGTTCAAAATTTCATAGATTATCAATATTAATTATAAAAGTATCATTCTTACAACTATGAAAGAAGCCAACAATGATTTCAAATATTTGTGCCATGAAGTCATGTAATTGAGAAAAATAAGTAGATCAACATTATAAGGGAATCCAAAAATCTTATTACTATGAATATAAAGCATAAAAGGATTAGTATGATGGAGAAGTTTGATAGAATAACATCAAAACTTCAAAGATTTCTATAACAAGATAAGTTCAATCTAAATTAAGAATAAATCAATTTATGATGATAACTTTTAAGTTTTCAAAAATTTATTTATTAAGATTGAAACATATGTAAATTGATACAATATATTTTAAATCTATCATTAAGTAAGAAAAAACTTAATGTTGTCAAAAAGAATTTTGTTTATATTATAGAAAAGCTAGACACACTTCCTAATATTATTTAAAGAAGTAACATAATGACAAAATAAAGAGCATGGTTGCCAAAGATATTGATGTATTGAAAAAAAAGTTTACCAATTACAATAAAAATGATGTAGGTAGAATCTTATGCAACATCTAGTAAAGGACATATTTTCTTTTCAAATCTTTCACCTTGCTTTATAATAGATATTTTTTTAAGACCAAAAAATAATAAAGCCTTTGTCTTATAAGCTTCAAGAGCATTTCTTTGTTTTATAAATCAAGACTTTATTAAAAAACATAAAATATTTTTAATAAAGAAAACTAAACTCAAGCATGTAAAAATCAAAGATAGTCATTTATTATCTTTTGGAGATGTTATCCATAAAATTGTTCTAATAGATGTAGAGCTAATGGTCATAAGAATTTAATAATATATTATCAATATTATATCTCATTCTAATTCAATTATTTTAAATTAATTATGATTAAAAAAATATAATTTTTAATTAGATTAGATTTTTCATAATTTTTATTTTTATCATATTATAACTTAGAATTTTATTATTGAAGTAAAAAATTATTTTTCTTATATAATCAAACTTTTATTAATGATTCAAGATTGAATTTAAATTTATACAAGAATTATGAAGAAATTTTTGATAAAAAAATGCTAGTAATATTTTAAAATATTATTTTTATAATTGCTCAAATCTATAATTTATTACAAAATGAGTTGATTGAATTCAAAGAATAAATTAATAAAAACTTGGCTAAGAATTTCATAAGCCATTCAAATGAGTTCTTATCTTATTTATAAAAAAATAAAAAATAAAAAATTACCATATTTCTTGGAGTATCAAATATTTAATAATAATAATATAAAATATAAATATCTTCTATCTTTGATATTTAAACTTTTTAATCAACTAAATTAAGCTAAGATCTATATAAAAATATATCTAAAAAGAACATACATTTTAACATGCATTATAGAAGGATATAAATAAAATACTAAATTTTATATTAAGTATAGGTATTTTAAATATAATATCATGTCTTATAGATTATTAAATATATTAGTTTCTTTTTACATCTTATAAATTTTATTTTTCAAGAAATT